TCTTCTGCAGTATCGAAAGTTTCTACTCCCAGTTTCTCATCCAGCCGCTTCCTGTAGAAAGAATAGGTACGTTTTTAAAAAGTCTGCATTCCTCATAAAAATTAAATTGTGTAACGCTCTGTTCGACACCCACCCTCCCCTCCCACAAACTTTCGTTCTTCGATGATTTTGGGAAGAATCCTCAGTTTTCGAAAAATTGAAGCAATACCGATATCGGCGTTATACGTTTTGCAACCTTGAACCCCCGCAGCTTTCCTGTAACGCACCGGAAACACAGGCTAAACCCTCCTTTCCCTCCAAAGCGTTATGTTTTTCATGATCCACCCCATAGCAGGCCCGCCACATCCCATCTCGGGCCCTGGTACCAGTTTTAAGGTCCAAGCCAGGTCCAAGGGGGGTCCGAGGGGCATCCCCCGAGAAATTTTAAAATTTATACGACTAATCGGACGCATTTTGAAGCTTCCATAAAGAATTTGTCCATCAATTTCTTCGGAATAATTTGTTATAGGATATATTTCTAAACAAGCATGTTACTCCTTAATTTAGCAGGGTATGCCATTTGTCATACATCTCCCCACTCTACCCAGAATGCATTGTTGTTCTAGAATCTTCCATCATGTGCCTGTTACAGTAAGCTGTATTCCATTCTCATTGAATAAAGTAAAGAATAATTAAATTAACAACTTAATTTCAATTATTTCACCCAAAAGGTTATGGGCCTTTAGTTTTACATTTAAGATATTAGTGATAGCAAGTTTCGGGTTAAAATGTGCAATTTTTCGCCAGTGCATGAAGTCGAAGTCTAACCTAAACGTAGTTCTGCCAGGACCCTTGAATTATTGCAATCAATAAGTAATCATAAAGTTAAATTGGGAGGAAAAATTTGTAACCTGGGGTGTTTGTATAGGTCACCGTCGTGCAATGAGAAAAAATTCACAGAATGGTTTGATGGATGGATAGGGGAAAAAATTGAGGTAGGGGGGAAAGGTGTTCTGTTTGGGGACTTTAACATTAGATGGGATAAACAGGAAGAATGGGGTACGAAACGGCTTAAGCAAGTAGAATTAAATTGGGGTTTAAATCAGATGGTTAAAGAATTTACCAGAATCACAGATAAGTGTAAGTCTACTATTGATCTTGCTTTCGTATGGGGTAATGAAAAATTAGTTGAAAGATGCTGGGTGGAGCATACGCCTAAGATTAGGGACCACAGCTGGGTAAGCTTAGCCATGACAGGTGATGTGAAAAAGGTAAACAGAATTAGGTATAATATTAAAGTAAGAACATTAGAGGATAAAAAGGTAGATGACATTGGTGGGATAATATTTGAATATAAAACAGTTGATGAAGTATACGAAAAATTTGAAAAGGAGTTAAGGATGACAGGTGCTAATGTTTACAAGAGGGTAGTAAAAAGAAGAGTAAGATGGTGGAACGAAGAATTAGGAGCACTAAGGAAGGAAAGAGATGAACGGTATGTTGAGTATATTAAACTTAGGAAGGATGAAGATTGGATTAAGTTTAAGAAAGCTAGAAATCAATTCACATCTGTGGCAAGAAGGATGAAAAAGGAATACATACAGGGTTATTCAAAAGTTACGCACCACTGGCCATAACTTTAGTTCTAATTATGATATCGATTTGCGGTTTGTGGCGTCCTTCCTCATATCGAGGGGGAAACTTTTTGAGGTACTTTTCAGTTCTTCACCCCCCCAGGGGGAGG